GCAAGAATCTGATTATTTGAAACAACAACATATTGCAGGAAATTACATTTGTGCGTTCTTTTCAAACCTCTGCTATAAGAATTACGTTCTTCCATTTTGCACTTAACATAGGATGCGCCAGTTAATGTAATCACATTTATCCGTGACGATTTTGATAACATTAAAAGGTGAGACATAATAAATATTCAAAATAGCACACAGAATTTAATTAATTTATCAGTAAATGTAATCAGTAATGCGTTAAATCAGTAAATATTTAACTATTTAGATACACTTACATGAGAAAATGGTTTGTTAAGTAGTATATCAAGTTGCATCTCATTTATGTTGTTTGCGTATGAGGGTATTGTAATGCGTCATATGTTAAACCAGATCAAGGCACTACTGTAGGGTAGAAATGAATATAATCCATAATCTATAATGTAAAATCAGGATATGTATAATCAAATGCAAGTGTTTAAATGTAATCAGGTACATAATGTAAACGGTCTTTGCTAAAGTAAGGCACAACATGCCAATTGTAATTCTTCATTGTATAATGTAATTGCCAATGTATAGGCTACTGTAGATAAAGGTGGACGGGGTGCTGTACTGATTAACCCAAATTGTAAAGGCACAGTGCCCACGTCCTCCGTCGCTTATCGCTTTAATTAATTTATTCTAAATATAAGTAGAAACATATAAGTACTTATTTTCACAGCATTTTAAATACGGAAAAATGTCGTTACTACTGGATTGTCTGCAAGTATTATGCAAAAGTTTATTTATGATTTATGTCTAACGTTTCTGGAAATATTTTGACTGTTGCTGTATAACTAATCTTATTCAGCATTTATAGGGAATTCACCAATTTCATCTTTACGTTATTCAGAAAATTTATTACATAATATGCTTGGATTTATTTCAGGAAACTCCCGGCAAATAACTTCTGTAATTTTTTGCCTGAAGAAGAGAAACCTGTGTCTCACATTTCTCGAAATCAACAAAGTTATTAAAAGTCTGCACCAAACTGAACAAAAGCTATAAGGGAGTTTAAATGCATAGCCTGATTTTAAATGGCTTTTTTGCTTGATTTTAAATAGTTGACTAGAATAAAAACGAAGTACTTTGTTGGCTTAATCCCTTACTTAATGGCATTTTTCAATCGTTTGAGAGTTTTTGAAATTTATTGACCTTATTTGGAGAATTTAGTTCCTTTTGAATAATTTGTACTGTCACGTTTTGATAACATTAACCGAATTTTTAATCTCAATAATCAATGTATTTTCCATGTTTTATTACACAAATGGGAGGGATTTCGACAATTCAATAACAATATCCGACAGATAATATTAACCGCGATCACATTAAGCGGCGTCTCTTGGAATTTTATCGACAGAAAAGTTACCCGCTCGAATAAAACACGTAAACTGCAGAATGGCTTACTGAAAGGCTTTTGGTTATCGGATAGTCGATTCACTTAGAAACCGATATACTACATTTCGGTATTTATTTCTGCTACATAGCAGAATTTCTGATTCATGTTTATTCTTCTCTGATCACGTCTCTATATTTAGGCAATGGATTTTGCGCCAAGAATTTTAGAAAAATGTTCAGAACAGTAGTTTTGATCTGGATTAAATTTTACATTTATAAATGGTGGGAGCTGCAAACATGAGTGATTAGTATCAGTCCTGTTTCATAACTTTGCTTCAGTTTCGAAAAATTAAAATACTAGATAGACGACTGTTAAAGGAGCTCTTTAACGGTATTAAATTTCAATTAAGATTCAGATTTGTACTAGATATCCCCTGCTGCACACCAGTATACAAACACGATATCAAAACATCGAGATTTGCACTAAAAAATAAAAGTAAATTATACTTTAAAAATAGACTATATAAAATTGTTATACTATACTACAACTAAAATAATCTTACTGTAATAAGCTGATTATTAATAATAATATCACTATAATAAACTGATAGTTACACTCAAATACTAAAATAAAGGTTCTTCCATTTAATTGGAAACTAAACTTTCATACTATATGTATAACTATCATTTGTTAGGTTCTGTAAACTGTACTTAGCAATTGAAGCTTTTTGGCTAAAACATCTGAGATGTTGAGCAGATAAAATAGAATATTGTATAATGGATGTATTTGAATTCATTTGGATTAACGGGAGAAAATTGGGGGGGGGGAGGATATTTATAGCTAGAACAAATTACAAAACCTTAAGAATGGAGAATAATTTTAGAGGAATTATCACATTCTCATCTGCTTGCTTTCATGGTGTAACTGGTTAGCACTTCCAGCTGTAGATTCTTACTTAGCATAAGCAATTCAAAGCATTTCTTCTCTCTAAACCGGGACTTCTAACCATGGTAACGAGTGCTGCGGAAAAGGGCGAATCGTCGAATTTGCTATAATTCCGTAATTTTCTCTGAGCGGTGAAGACGAGACACAACTACGATCGTAAATGATGGGAGGATCGCTCTGACCGTGAAGTCTGCATGTCTCATGAACTTGATAGTCTCATAAACTTCATAATCATCATAAACTTGATAGACTTTACAGTCTGAAAGAAAATGAAAGCTTGGATATAATAGAGATAATTTTTCAAATGTTAATGTAAATCCAGTGTATCTAACAAATATCCAGACAAAAATTTGAAATAAAAATAAAAACAATGAGGAAACTGTTAAAAGCAATAGTTATAATGAGCAAGGTAATTTTCTTTATCGCATTTCAGCATTCACTTTCTCGTGTGCTTCCCACATTTCACATCTAGCGTCCTGTGGTTGACTTGCAAAAAGTCAAGATCCAAAATCTGATAGTTTAATTTATTTGTTGATAGCAAAGCACGCTAGAGCTACCTGCCTAAGCGAAGGGATGCTTTCGTGAGGGACCTTTTTAAAGAAAACTAGCTCGTATCCACATTACGCAGCCATGAAAGTGCCAATGCAGTTCGCAGAGTCACCTGGAATTGAGCGTAAGTCGAACTTAAGTTTAGCGATTTTACTACTCGGGCGTTCTGGTAAGCCCAAAATCTGAATTAAAATCTTCAGTGAATGTCTGCTACTTTTGCACCATCTTGAAACTGACAAATCGTTAAGTCGAGGACCGCTTTTCCCCGATAAGGTAATTTTGAAAATTTGAGAAGCTGAATAAAATTTCTAAGTAAAGGGTTTATGTTCTGCACCCCCCCCCATAAAAAACAAAAGTCAGTTTAAAGGAAGTGCATTTATTTAAAAGCATTTACTGCGGTCCTGGATAAAAAGGAGTGACGTTGGTTTGTATAAAATTAGTGTTAAAATGCGCCGTAAACCTCCTTTAAACTTAACATGCAAATTTAAATATCACATATTTATTACAAGCGTACTTGGGTGTGGTGGGTATGCGTTATTTTTATGTAACGTCTCTTTAAATATTCAATAGTTTATCTTATGGTACCTGGAAACATAATTCCTGGTATGTAAAAGTAATTATTTCTTCATTGTTGACAGTTCTTACCCATTCTATTAGATTATAGTTAGTTACAAAGGACATGGATTTGTCTGTCTGGTTTAATATTTTTATTAATTTTGTATTATCAGTAAATAAACTTCTGTTGTTTTCTTCTGCGTGTGTTCACTTCTGTTGTTTAATATATGAGATTTCACAATGCCCAATACATTATGACAACGCCATTTTTTTTCAATCAACAATTTGCGAATATTATGTTTTATGATATTTGTGCCATAACTTAAAATAGCTTTTCTTTTGTTTATTTATTCAAATGCGAGTTTACGTTATTTCATTTCCGTTAAAAAGGAATATGAATAACGCACCAGAAAATCTATAAACAGAGCTAATTAATTTACAGTATTAGATAAAATGTATGTAAAGCTTGAGGATACAGATTTTATTAACTTTTATATGAATAAAAAAATGAGCTCAGTTAAGAATTTTTTCAATAAGAATAATCACTTTGTTTATGAATGCATTTATACATCAACAGCTTTTTTTCGCAGTTTGAAAATTAATAACAAAAGAAACCGATTGATTGATGAGCAACTATAATGCGTTACGAAGATAATTTCTAGCAAACTTTCCCCAAGGTTACACAATTTATCGGAATCGAAACGCCATCAAATGTAAGAAATAAAGATTATATAACTATTTACATACATATATATTTTTATTTATGCTTCGAAGAAAAATTTATAAAATAAGAGAAAAAGACTAGCTTGTCATTATTTATTCTCAAGTTTTGCCCTATTTGGCAAATTCTGTCTAAAAATCTTAAGTTTTCATAATTTGTTCATTTTTAGTTTAAAGTAAATTATTTAATGATTAATTAAACATGTTAGAACTATTTGAAATAAATGTCATTCTAACGATTTAACACATTTAGCTTTCAATATATTTGAATAATAAAATAAGCCAACAGACACCAACTTTAGTTTTCAAATGGAAAATAAACAGAAATATGATTTTTTTTTCTATTTGCGATATATTTAATTAGTGAAACTTAAAACTTATTTATTTTTTTTTTATTTTGTTAAAAAGAAAAAAAGAATTCTGGCCCGTCTGCTAGTTTTCAGATCGTGCATATGTCCCACATGCAATTTGAGTTTGAGACCAGTGAATTATGCTATTTTGAGAAAGTATTAGATCGTACTACGAGCAAAGTGGCATGAAAACACAATCTTAAGATACACGTGAAAAAAATTGAATACTTGGAAGCCATTATTAGTTTGTTTGGAATTATAAGCAATATTTTTAAATTATTACAAACTTTTATTTCCCTAAGGGAGAAAAACCGATATTTAAATTTTCTCAAAGGAAATTTCATCTGTTATAACTAATGAGCAAAAAAGAAAAGGAGACTTAACATACACATTAAAATACTGTTTTATAGCCAAAATGCCCTTTAATGGTGTGAATTTTTATGATTATCTGTTTTTTAAAAATTAAAAACGATAGTTTTTGCCTTTTCTAAATCATTCTAAACTGCAGTCTTTCTTTTTCATAGAACTTTTCTTCTTACCCTGTGACTCCATTATCAAAGGTGCCAGAACTGAAAGACAGAAAACAAGAAGTCGAGGACACTGAAAATCTGTTTCCTGAATCTGCTGCCGTTAAGTCTTACCAGGACTTTTACAGGATTTTCTACGGCACTCAGGAAGGAGTGAATCTTCTTCGAAAGAAATATGGACCTACTGGACTCAAGGAGGCAAGAGCGAAATTCGGAGGAGTCAATAGAGGTAAACATAGTAGAATTTTATCATTGTATTTGCACACAAATCTATTTCAAACCAAAAACCTGAATGTTAATTTGTACCATCGACAAATTTTAGATTTTATAATTGAAAAGCAATAAAAGATTTTTCAGAATTTTGAGTCAAATACAAGATCGAATACAATAATTTCTTAAATCAAATACAAGATTCAGTAGAAAAACTTTTCATAATATGATCCAGAAGTAACGAAGATAATAGAGATATCATGAATACTTTTTAATTGCGCGGTCGAATGTCGAAGGCGTTCTGTTTGTCATTTTTCATGTAGAACCATCGAATATGTTGGGTCATAATATGTTGGTGATGCTAGAAAACTTATTTATTGTTGTTGTTGTTATAGCTTAGTTGACTTAGAAAAAGGTCACCGAATTTTATCGCGGGAAAGGGTGCATAACTTCATCTGTCGTTAACATGGGCCTTGAGCACCATATACATATTGCGACTTTACCCAGCTACATGCCAATTCAGATAGACTGCAAACCGAAGAGGTCCCAGTCCATCGGCGTGCATTTGGAGTGATCTCATGCCGCATGGACACATATAAACATCCATGTCTTCTTCGGGATTTCTAGCCTGAATCCAATGATTTATACAGCAGCCAGAAGCACTGTATTGATCAGGGCGGCAAACTTAATTGTAACCATGTACAGCAACATGTAATCTGAAGTTGTAACCATGTACAGCAAACTTAGTTGTAACCATGTACAGTATATAAGTCCTTAAATATCATTTATAGTGCTGTGAAGCTGTAATGTTAGAAAGTATAAACTACAATCCTGTCAGCAACGGCATTCGTGGAAATCCTGAAGAAATCCTATAAACAAAAATTTTATATCATTATACGGTGACATTTAAGAACGTAATTTTTTTATCACTCTCGCTCATCCATTCTAAATAACGCCTTTGAATTCCATTTTATAGGATTTATAAACTAGAAATGTTATGTGAGTTTCAACGCAGAATTTAAGTCTTGAGGAAACACAACTGTAGCGGAATCTTCATTCGGGTGCCTTGTTCTTGAACGACCGTCTTCACTTCTTTGTTCAGATGGCTTAGTTTAATAAAACTAGAGTTTGTTTAGTGTGTCTTAGTCGATTATTTCTATACATATTATCCCTCATTTCTTTAAGACAGTCGTTCATCCTTGAAATACGTCCAGCTTGGTAGATGTCCTGCATGGGTGCGAAAAATTTGTTTGGTATACGATACTTGTTTGGAATACCACTGCGCGCGCTGTACTTATACACCTCTTTCGAGATAATTCTGCAACTGCGCATGAGCGTAAGCACGCCTGTTATTCCTTTTCAGCATAAAACCCGTGCAAAAATTATGAAATTTCAAGTGATTTTGTGATTTTCCGCGTACATTTTTCTAAATTATTTACAATGTATTTTAAGAACGTTAATGAGAAAAGTCGAGCAACAAATAAAATTGTTAGAATCACTAAGGAATGAAAAGAGATTATTAAAAGTTGGAAGATTGTATATATATCCGGGACTGTGCTTTTGCGTACCGTATGCAGAATACTGCAGTGCCTACGATTGTGTAAAACAAAAGCACTATTAAATCGGCTAACATTGCGAATGGTCTGAAATCGATTTATAAAAAATGATAAAAGAAATTAGAACATAAAATTAGTAAAGCAGCAACCTTTTTGGCTAGATTTTAGTCAATATTCACCTTTTTGGCTAGATTTTAGTCAATATTCACCTTTTTGGCTAGATTTTAGTCAATATTCACCTTTTTGGCTAGATTTTAGTCAATATTTTATCGTTTTCGAAATCAAACAAATACAGGTTGCTCTTCATCAGGATCAAAGAAATTTGCAACAAAGGTAAAGACATGGTTGTATTTTTATCCCAAAAGGAGTAAAGCGAACGAGAAGGTGGCGCCATCTGTATAAATAATAAATAATAAATAAAACTGATAAAGTAAGTTTAATCGAAATTTAAAAGCGTTAGAAAGGCCTGAATAGGAATTAGTCATTAACTAAACAAGATAAACCTTTGTGAATGTGAAAAGCTCAAGCTTTCCAAGCTTCCTTCAAGCTTTTTGCGAAATTTTGCAGACTGAAAGTCAAAATTATGGTTAAATTTCTAGCTATGATTAGCTATTGAAGACTTGCTAATTTCACCTTCACGGACATAAGCTTCGTATTCCTTGATGCGAAATTTGAACGCTGTTTTAGTTTGCTCCATGTATCTCAAATGACACTGACTAGTTATGCTATAACTTCCCGAAGAATTAAAGTCAGAAATGGAATATTTAAGAATCGAACAATGGATTCTATTGATAGGCAAAAAAAGGAACATGTTGAAGATGTTGAACATGTTGAAAAACTGCTTTTTGATGTGGAAAGAGATAAAGTTTATGCACAGTTTCATGTACAATGCTTCATTTATGTACGGTATATATTTTAACCAATGCATATGTATTTTAGTACTGAACAGTGTTGTAATAATAACATATAATTTTATAATTATTCCTTTATTTCTTTTTGGGAAGTTCATTAAAAAAGGTGCAAAAATTATGCTGTTGGAAATAATAGTCACGGAATTATTGTATTTTATGGAAGAAAACGTGATCTTCCATTTGGCCAGTCCACTGATACTGTATAGGATGTTTTGTCTATTGACGTCTCTTTGCGAGACTTTTTTTTAACCAATCCTCTAAAACAAATCTACAGTTAAAATAAACACTTATTTATTTATTCTTGGAATAAAGCTTGGGGATATTACACACTAAATCTTTTCAAAATAGCCATTCTGTACTTTCTTTTTTTAATTCCACTACTTTTATTCCAAATACCTGCATTTTATTGTGCTTTAGAAATTCTCATTTATCAAAATACCCCACAAAGCCAACTTAAAAGCACCCGACCATTATCCTATCTTTATCCTATTTTTAAAAAAACGGTTTGAAATGCCGTAGCTTCACTTACTCCTCATACAAATGGACATTTTATTTTCTTAACGGAAGGGAAGTTCTTTTCAAAGCAACATAAAACGTTTAGCAAGACTTTTTTCTTCTTTTGTAATTCTACTTTAATTTTTTTTATTTATTTTTATTTTTTTATGTAGGTCTTGGTATCATCCTATGCACCATGATAGTATCAGCTCTTAGTTCAAGGCCAGGAAAAGGAATTCAGTTTTAAAAAGAGACTCATTTCTTCTCTAGCAATGTAAAAAAATGTATAATGGAAAGGAAAGGGATGGGAAAAATGCGAGTGGTGAATTGTGTGTATGTACGATATGGTAAACAGAAAACGAATTACCAAAACTTATTTACAGAAATATACCGATCTAGAAAATGTCTTAACATTAATTAACGCAGGTAGCAGAGTTAAGTAATTGAGGCGACATATGTAATATGTTCTTTACACATTCTGTTCGGGGTGTTTTAGATAGATAGCGCCCCTATATACAAAATTTTTAGTGGTGTTGTGTAACGCTTTGAAATACGTCCAGTATGGTATACGTGCATCGACATATATCATATTGGATGCGAAGTTTTTGCTTGTATTTGTCCAGCTTGGAGGCAAAAATTTTGGTTTCGTATACAACATTTGTTTATAATACTATTCAAGTTCGAGGAGTTACAAGGAAAAGATCATATCATTACGAACATGTTTGACATAATTAAAGCATTCAAATGTCAACTAGTTCTTTGGGAAAAACAACTTAAAAATGAAGATTTGACGCACTTCCCGACGTGCAGCATGAATAAATCAAGTTTAGATTATACTTGTTCGTATCAAAAATACGCAGAAAAAATTGCAAATTTAACAACTGAATTTGAAACGAGGTTTAATGATTTTAGTTCCCTCGAAGACAAATTTTTTTTTGTTTTCTTCGATTTTCTCAATAAGTATTGACTCAGTACCCAGCCATATGCAAATGGAGGTGATCGAGATTCAATGCAACTCAAATTTGAAAGCAAAATTCATTGAAGTGGGCGTGCCTGAATTTTACAAATATTTACCAGCCAGGTTTGAAAATACTCGAAAATTCGCATATGAAATTATTTCCATGTTTGGTAGCACTTATCGGTGCCAGCAGTTATTTTCAGTCATGAAAGGTAATAAGTATGTTTATTATTCGAAATAAATCTACGTTTCTATGAATATTGATTTTTTTTTTTTTTTTTTTTTTTTTTTTTTCGGCCCGCCTAAAGTTAAACCTTGTTTGTTTGGCCCAAGTGTACCTATGAGTTTGACATCCCTGGTTTTCGGTATTATTTCATCCAATGTATTTCAGTATTATACAGGTCTATAAAAATAGGAAGAGGATTTCCTTATAAGAATTCATTAATTATTTTCCTTTTATTTCTTGCTGGAAAATTTCATTTGGTATACATGCAAAGATCTGAAACGAATTAATGGCGTATTCCTAAGTAACACTGTATATGAGGCTTTTATTAAACGTCAGTTTTGGTTATATGACATCTTTCAGTAAAAATACGCGAAGCTGTAATTTTAATACGGTCATCTGCAAAGAAAGATAAACTATAGTCTGTTACTTACGCCTTTCAAGGTCTTTCGGATAATCTCCCATGAGAGTCATTACCCCACCGCACTTGTTTTATCCATCTCATATGAGATTGTAGGTCAAGTCAGGCTTCATTCGTCCGCTTTCCTCAAAGATAAGCAGAAGTTAAGTGGGAATAAACACAAACAATTACTCGATCATCTATTGCAACTATCTTTACCATAGTTACGAGACTAGCCGGCAAAGAAGAAATGCCCCTGAAGTGTCCGTCCTAAAGTAAAAGAGTATAGTAAGATTTGTTTCCGAATCTTCTACAAGAAGATAGAAAATCCGGTTTGAAACTACCGAGAAAACTGATCCTATAGTAGTACATATAAACAGGTCCTGAAAGAAAATGTCGAAGTTATGTGGCTTGCCTTCCTTTTGCGCAAAGTTATTAAAACTATGCAATTTCATTCGCTGAAAGACGAGTTTAAA